GTTAAAACCTAGGCTTATTGACCTTTAACTGAGTCACACCTAGTGGACATTCTGACGGACTCTGAGTTAAAAATAGAAATAATGTTCATTGAAGACCATAAGTTGGTTTCTGTTTCGTCTTAGTTAAAACCTAGGCTTATTGACCTTTAACTGAGTCACACCTAGTGGACATTCTGACGGACTCTGAGTTAAAAATAGAAATAATGTTCATTGAAGACCATAAGTTGGTTTCTGTTTCGTCTTAGTTAAAACCTAGGCTTATTGACCTTTAACTGAGTCACACCTAGTGGACATTCTGACGGACTCTGAGTTAAAAATAGAAATAATGTTCATTGAAGACCATAAGTTGGTTTCTGTTTCGTCTTAGTTAAAACCTAGGCTTATTGACCTTTAACTGAGTCACACCTAGTGGACATTCTGACGGACTCTGAGTTAAAAATAGAAATAATGTTCATTGAAGACCATAAGTTGGTTTCTGTTTCGTCTTAGTTAAAACCTAGGCTTATTGACCTTTAACTGAGTCACACCTAGTGGACATTCTGACGGACTCTGAGTTAAAAATAGAAATAATGTTCATTGAAGACCATAAGTTGGTTTCTGTTTCGTCTTAGTTAAAACCTAGGCTTATTGACCTTTAACTGAGTCACACCTAGTGGACATTCTGACGGACTCGGAATTAAAAATAGAAACAACGTTTCATTGAAGACCAGAAGTAGTTCCTGATTTCTGTATCATCATATAAGGTTACATCTCGAAACCAGCTGTTGCCGAGAGAGAGAAAGAGAGAGAGAGAGCCTTGTCCCCGTGATCCCTCGCAAGGTCTTTATGTACCTTTTTCCTTGTGGCCGCAGTCTGCCCGACGACGTCCGTGTGCGTGTGAACGTGTATCAGGAATGATGCGTGCAGGCCTGTGAGTGGAGGACGGTGGAACACAGAAGGGAAAAGAAGTAATATGAGCGAAGTAGAAGGAGGAGGAGGAGGAGGAGGCGGCCGAGTGGGCCCAAAAGGCATGAACGAAGACAACCCGGGGTGGAGCGAGGGTGATGGGAGGGTTGGGGGAACTAGTTATGGTAATGAGGAGATGCAATGATAGCTCCGCCGGTCCGGCTCCGCCGCTCTCCGGTCTCCTCTCTCCGTTCTCGGCAATGATCTTCGGGACCGCTTACACCTTTTATTCCTTATTGCGCGAGATGGCTGTTATCCGCGCGAGGCCGCAATCTGTGGCATCTCCTGGCCTGTACGTGTCATACCTACGTACCTACACAACCGTGGTTGACTCGTGTGTTCCACGCGTTCATCACGGTGTATGCGTGCACGTCGCCGGTCCCTCGTATAATGGGATGGGCTGCTCACTTTAAACATGGTAAATAACTCCAGTGGCGCCGCATTATCTGGGCCGGACTCATTCCCATTTTTCTCAACGTGTCCCCCTCGCCTGTACGACTGCAGATCGCATCGCGATCACTCTTCCTCGAAATTCAATGCTGGGTTTAGGGTGTCGCTTGACAATTCGCAATTAGGAGACAGAGGAGGAGCTCAGGTATTGAAAGGTGACGAATCGAATGATGCATGCATCGACGAGATTAAGTTAGGTTAGGTTAAATAAAAGGCTACAGCATGAAAAGCTATGCAAAGGAGAAATTGAGGTATTGAATGATGAATCGAATGACGTATGCGTCAACGAGATTAGGTTAGGCTAGGTTATATGTGACGATACCTATTGAAACTTGACGATAAGCGTATGATCACGTGACAAGAGGATAAGAACTCGGCCACTTAAAGCCTGCGAACCGTCCGATGAGTAACCGAAAGAGCCTGGCGATCGGAACGGAAGCGAGCCGGTTTTAAATTGAAGCAGTTAAAGCGTGGCGCCGGACAGAGAGGCATTGTCCGCCGGTTGAATGCCGCAGACATAATTCGTATAATTGCGGGACACGTGCCACTCACCATTCTTTCCGCGGTATCAACCGCGTCCATACGCTGGGATGGCAATAAACAGGCCGATGGGAACGAGAAGACAATTGCATCGTCCGCGGACAGCCGCGGAAACGGAACACTCGTGTACTCAGTGCTGAACGATTTCTACGTACGTACCTCCATACCAACTCCCCGCGTATCACTCTCCCTTTCCGCCGGAGGACGAGTGAGCAGAGAGAAGTTTTCTACCGCAGTCGATACGATTTCCTCTCGTCGTTCGACGCACGCGGCTTTTCTTTCACGACGAATGAAAGCACACGGGAAAGTTTGTTCTACTAAGTTAATTAGTTTGACGTACCGCCGCAGGCGCTGGAGGAAACAGTCGAAATTATCTACTCGTCGTGAATTTTATTGTCAGTCATTCGTTTTTATTGTTGTTACTCATACGTCGTTTGATAAAATTATTAATAATTCTCTGATTCTATAATTGCAATAAATAAATAGTGATTGATAAATTAGTTGGAAAACTGAAGAAACGAATTGGGAGATGAACTAATTTTTTATACTTCGTCGGAGTCGTTGAGAAGGGAGATTGAAACAGTTTTGGAAAATCGGTAGGCGACGGTGTCTAAGCGACCGCGAGACTGCCGAGTAATAAATAATTTCCAGTGCCGTCTCTCGCAACTTCTTCAATTTCCGCCGCCGCGTCGGAAGCGGGAAGCATATTTTTTCCACCCCCCGCGCGACACGCCGATCGAAAACTCCAGAGCCTCTACTTACCGAGGCTTCCTACAATACTCGATTCCCTCCCGCGTTTCCGAGACTCTTTCAATTTTAAACATAATACATTATCTCAGAATTTAGTATCACAGGGACGTTGCTATCACACAATCATTATTATTATTGTTCTTGTTGTTGTCAGATAATTGTTATTACTTTTGCTGCTGCTGCTGTTGCTGTTGCTGCTGTTGCTGTTGCTGCTGTTGCTGTTGCTGCTGTTGCTGTTGCTGCTGTTGCTGTTGCTGCTGTTGCTGTTGCTGCTGTTGCTGTTGCTGCTGTTGCTGTTGCTGCTGTTGCTGTTGCTGCTGTTGCTGTTGCTGCTGTTGCTGTTGCTGCTGTTGCTGTTGCTGCTGTTGCTGTTGCTGCTGTTGCTGTTGCTGCTGTTGCTGTTGCTGCTGTTGCTGTTGCTGCTGTTGCTGTTGCTGCTGTTGCTGTTGCTGCTGTTGCTGTTGCTGCTGTTGCTGTTGCTGCTGTTGCTGTTGCTGCTGTTGCTGTTGCTGCTGTTGCTGTTGCTGCTGTTGCTGTTGCTGCTGTTGCTGTTGTTGTCGCTGTCGTCGTTGTTGTCGTCGTCGCTGTTGTCGTTGTCTCTGTTTGGTCTGAATGATATAATTATGTTTGAACAATTGACTGTTGCTGGAGTTTCTTATTGTCCTTCAGAAAATTGTTATTAAATAAGTGATTAGTGACTAGAGAAAAATTCCAGGCTACGTGGCCTTAAAAGAAAAAACTGCATTCTCTTTTGAAGAACGAGCCCGGCTGGCAATAAAGAGTAACATAATATCCGCACTTAAATTCCACAGCGTCTTATTCCGAAACGACGCGGATTCCTCGAGAGAAAAGAGCGCGGCGGCGGCGGCGGTGTGCGGGTCGTTAGTTATCAGCATGCACACCGCTCGCGTCTCCCTTCACTCCTCTTCCCACCGACCGGCCGGTTACCCCTCACCGTCCACGGGAGCCTTCATCGAAACGTTAAACGCGGAGGCAATATCGTCCGGAGGGGTTCAAAGCGCGGGATTCGTCCCGTTTTCAAAGCGAAAGAATGGTTCCTGTTTCCTCGAGGAATTCGAATTTTCTCTCAGATCCACTGCGCGTTACACTTTAAACCAGTCGGTTGCAGGCGCGGCGGCCGCTAAAACGCTTTCGAAACTGCGAACGGGCGAAAGGCGGGGGGTGGGTGTGGGGTTAGGTATGGAAGAAATTCAGTTGAAAAATGTCCGGGAGTCGGGTTTAAATAACTTTGACAGTACTTGCCGGGTTGCTCTTATATTTTTTTTTTCTTTTTTTGTTTTCAGACTTCGCCCGCGCCGCTTTTTGTCGCGGCAGCTTTATATTTTATATCCAATCAGAATCGGGTTAGCCTTTCACGCGTGCAGAACGTAAATGGACTCTCGCTCGGTGTTCTCGCGTCAGGTTCGTACAAGCGTTGCGTGTATGTGCGCGTGAGACGAGCGCCGGTTGTACAAAAGGAGGCGGAAAGCGTGATACGCGTGACTCGCCGTGGCTCACGGCTCGGTATGCGGCCGGCCGGTAAATTAAATTCTAATAAAGCTCGCCGAAACGACGGGGCCCGATGGGGGGGAAAAAAACCGAACGGTTCCCGTCGGTGAACAATAGCGTCGAAGGCGTCGCGCCTCCGCCGCGGATAATTATATCGAGCCGGCGCGACCAGGAATCCCGCTGAAAAACCTGTCTTCGAGCCTGTCCGGTCGGGGCCACGTTAACTAACTCCCCGCCCCTCCTCTCCCACACTTGGTAGGTGTGTCGTCTTTCGTACCATCGGCGACGTGTCACGAAGTAAAAAGGGATGATCGGTGAAAAAGAGATGAGCCTCGTTCGGAAGCTTTGATATCTTTGTGAACCGTTTGACGATACGTTAGGTTAGGTTGGGTAAAATACGAGGCTGTTGGACTGGGTTTATTGCTTGCTGTGTTTAGAATGTGAAACTGAATCGATGAGAATTGCTTTTTCAAACGATTTCTAATCATTCCATTAAGTAATGAATGAAGAAACTGATTAATGGATGTCAGGACACTAAGTTGGGTTAGGCTAGGTTGTGTTGGACGAAATACGAGGATATCCGATGGTTTATTGCTTGCTGTTTTTAGAATGTGAAGCTGAATCGATGAGAATTGTTTTTTGAAACGATCTCTAATGACTCTATTAAATGATGAATGAAGAAACCAATGAATAGGCGTCAGGGCTAAGTTAGATTATGTTAGAAATCTTGAAATATTTCCTATTCTTATTTTGATTCTCGATCAATTGAATGGATTGAAGATCGAAGGCTTCTGTTTGTGTTTCAGGACCGTCACGTGAAGAAGTCTAGCAAGGACCCGCAGATGGACTCGAGCCAAGACTACACTCTGCTACTGGGTTTCGAGAACAAGACGCACACGGTGCTACGTTTCAGCAGGCAATACGATACGTGCGACCCGCGGGACCTTAAGATCACGGTAGGTGGTTTGATTTATATGGCTTCCGGCGTGAAAGATAATTTCTCGCTGCGAGACCGAAGTGCTCGCCGGAGGATCGGTTTGATGGATTTACGAGAAAAATTGAGCAGCCGAGCGTGAGCCAGGCGCCGGAATTATTTATCGCGGTTCTTTACGAAATTGAACGCGCCGCGTTAAATAATTAATACCCGAATGACACCCTGCGTACATCACCATCGAATTAATTCCGGTACCAACGAAATTTCGTACAATTCCATCTACAAACTTGTCAAACGTTAATTCATCAATTCTATGAGGCTTTTATGGTTTTTATGGTTTTTGACAATCGATTAGTAGAAATGATCGTGACGATATCGAACAACAAAGTGACACGCGTAAACGCGGAGACTGTCTGTCGAAACTGTAGGACCGATTCATTACGCTTGTCGCAATTAACGTTAATTAACCGACCGTTACTGGGAACACGCGAGCCGCGAAAGGTGTCAGGAATTTGAAAACGGTTCACGGCCGGGTGGCGAGAACGAAGTAGCTGCGGCCGCGTCGGCAAGTCGTGCGTGGGCGGTATGCGGAATCATTAGCGAACCGGACGAGGCGGTATTAACATAGGCCGGCGAAAATTCAAAGACTCGTTATCACCAGACTTCGTTCCGGGGATTCCGCGCATAGAACAGGCCTACTTCTTTATTTCCCCGGTAATTAACTCTGTGCCTCGAACGGCTCTATCGCAGAGATCGCCGGTTGGTACCGTTTCGCACAGATCGCCGGTGTTTAGCACTGCTTCGGCCAGTAAGTAAAGCCCGACAAATGAATTGGCTGCAATTAATTCTTGCAGAGTTTCGACGGACCTAATTGTTCGCCGCGTGAAATGAATGAAACGGGTCGACATTCTAATTCTAATTAAACAGAAAATTAATCAGATCAACGTGATTATTCTATTGACAATGGAGACACATTTCGCCTCTTGCCTGGCTACGTTTCTGTCCCGTGGACGTTTGCGCTGCGCGTGCCAATTATTTACGCGTAAGCACGGGTCAGGACTCCGTCACCCGAAATTCCCTCGCGGTGCACGCGTGCGCGCTTCCGTTCGCAAACGCGAATATCGACGACGACTTCGAACCGCGTTGTTAACACGCGGACACGTAAACGGACCAGCAATTATTCCCGCGAGCATCGCCCTCGGCTCCCACGCACCTCCATGCCTCAGCGCGCGTTGAATCTCTCAAGACGGTCTTTCATTACCATTTCTGGATTCATTCAGAAGCAACAACTTTCAATGAAACCAGATTGCAATCACTCGAACCACCCTATTAAATTTTAGGTATAAAAAATTGGTGTGAAACGCCTTTGACTGAAACGAGGCAGGAATCAATGAAACAGGAAAATTCTTGTCGACGTGTTAAGAAACATCGTAGCACGTCGCATCTAAATTGGTTATCAATTCCCGGGTAAGGTCTTCATTATGCAGATGAAGATTTCACAATGTGTGGCGTTGTCGGTGGATCCGATCTCTGCTAAGCCGAGGATTTAGAAAAAACGAACGGTATCCCTGTAGATCTGCGGAGAAATCTGTGTAGACCGAACGTATACTGGACTGTGGTTGAGTCATCAAAACGGTTGGGTGCAAAAATAAAGCCGAGCCACTACCGCGAGATCGTATCGCTAGGACAAACGACGAAGTCAGCTCTCCGTCCGCTCTTTCCCGTTTATCTGATCGCGCGACGTATCGGTACTACTCCGCATGATATTTTTACGCGTCACGTTCCGCCCCGACCCGGCCGGGCCAGCACGGACCCCGCGGAACCACCCGAATCCCGTAGGCGGACCTGGAGATACAGTTTAAATGGGCCCACGTTTATAAAGGGTTATCGGCGATCGCGGGACGAAGGTCTCTTTTGTCCGCGACCAAAATTACGGTGGCAGAAGTCGTGTGATCGCTCCTCGAGATCTCCATGAATACATACACACGGTATAGTGCATGTAGGTTATGTGACAGGATCGTAGACCTAATGGGCGGTCCACTGCTCCCGGGATGTGTCACTGGATGTCTCAGATTTCAGCCATTTTATATGATCAATAAGTACTCTTCACGTAACGTCCGCGTGTCTTCATGTTGTGTCCTCAAACGCAAGTGAGACACTAGCTGACCATAGCAAATGTCCTTATTAGCTCCTCACCCCCTCAGGGCTTATAAAATAAATTTCTACACTATTCTTTAGGTCCATGGACCTGAAACACATACTTGACATATGTTTACGGTACATACATACATATAGAATATATGATGAAGCCCTGTATCCGGAATGCATAGACAAATGCGTCCTCATAATTAGATCAGTGAATATAAATACTGTTCCTTCTTGATTACGCAATTTCTATGCAAGAGTGATTGCAAGCGGATACGGTCCTCGGCAGGTATTTACGTCGCAGCGCACGTACGATTCGTAGGTAATTTCTGTCTCGCTGGGAAAGCCCGGTGTCTCTGACCGGGAGGTTCATTTGCGCGACCGCACACCGCGCGCCGCCCCGGCTAACGAAATAATTACCGGTTTGCATAACTCCGGTTGGAGTCACGCGAGCCCCCGGTAAACAAGCCTAATTATGAAAAATACATATTTCAATGGGGGCGCCGAAACGTCACGCGTTTCCCTCTGATGGCCCGCCGCGGCGTACACGCCACGCTAATGAACTAATTACAAGCGCACACAAGACCGATGCTACGGAATCGCTGGAACTGCGAATGCGGGGGAGCTCTATAAGACAAGGTCGTGCCTGATCTCTCTCCTCATTGCGCGTTTGCGTGAGCCAGCTCGATGCTTCGTCTCAGCTTAATTCCACGTACCGCTGATGAGACTGCCTGCATACTGAAGCGAACCGAACCGCGAGACTGTCGTATTGGTATTAATATGCGATCGAAGTTCTGTTCCCTGTAAGCCGGTTACCAGCGCCGCTTAATTTCCTGTTCACTCGATTAATCGAACGCGAATGCACAAGTAATCATACTCCTAGTAGAGACTGTTTAATTAACAATCTGACAAGTGATGTCTTAGGAGCAAAGCTATTGAGTGGTCAAACGAGTGATGATGAAGCATTATTAAAGCACCCTGATTACAAAATATTGAGTTTATTAGCTCTCACTTAGACTCTCTAACCTTCTATAAGTCTATCTACCATAATTTAACGTCTCCCTAGGTCGTAGGACCTACGTTCGGCGGAACCAATGCTATAGTCTTCAGGATAGCCTATAGGGAAAAGCGAAAAAACCCTTAAAATAAGTAGTGGACCCTAAACAGCAGGAAGTCGGTGTCAAACGTGGGTCCCTGACCTCTCTACTTTGACACGCTTCTGCCCATTTGCGGCGCTACCATCGCCCAGTAGCCCTGACCTCGTAGATTGGACCAACAGAGTGTAGATCTTCAGAAATGTATAAAAAATCTGTTAGTGTATCAACCGGGACGTGTCCCAATGCATCTTATTGTCCCAAACTGGACCATAGAGAATCGTAGAAACCGCGTCTACTTCCCGTTACAAGTAGATACACCCAGCGGAACGAAATTTTATTTTCGCGAAAGTAAACGGGGCTTCCTTTGCGTCCGATAAATTTGCGGCCGCGGCGGGACGTCGTCCCGGAGTCGGTCTCCTGCGTCGGATGTCGACGATGGAAACCGCAGAAGTTCCAACCGTGGCAACTGGGGATGGTCTCCCTCCGAGCCACTCTGGCAAGGATCCTGCGGCTCGGTGGCATTATGCAACCGGAGTCCACGTCACCGTTTCCACGAGACTCGGTTTTTCCGCATGGGACCAGGTTTTTTCACCTGCAATCCTCCCGGGTCCGACGCGTGGATGTCCGTGAAAGCGAATAGAAAAACAGAGCTCCGCTGTCTTCCTCGGGATATATCCCCCTTCTGCCGACCGGCTGGCTGGCTGGCTGGCTGACCCGGATCCGGGCTCTATCTGTAACCGTATCTAGTTTACCACTTCGCTTCTGTAGTAGACGACGCGAACTTCCTGAATAAGGTCCTCCCTGGGCGCGACGGACTGATCGCCATTCCGAATGGTTCGGCTCGGTGTAAAAGGAAAATCGAATTTGACCGATGCCTTTGGGAGGACTGGGCTCCACGAGGGGGTGGCCAGTCGCCAGGTGCGCGCTCACGATCTTATTGGCTGGGATACGTATATACTCGTGGCGCAAGCCTGCCGGGGGGATTTCGACTACCTACACCTCCCCCAAAGCGGTAGCTACCTACTATCCGGAGCGACGGGAAATCGAATCAACCGAAGGAGATTCCGAAAACCCTATCTCGCTCAGATTACATACGTATCGAGACAATTATTCAAGGAAATTACATCTCGCCAAACTCGATTCTCCAGTTAATCTGTCATTTGCACTCTGTTTGGTTTCCGCTCCGGTTTTTCTTTCTTATTAATTATACCAGTGTCAAGCCGGAACTCCATTTCTGACTTCCCTTAATTTAATTTTTGGAAAATCTTAAAGTATCAGCTGTGCACATGTGGTAATTATTCAGGAACGAATATGAAGTGTCAGATTTGTAATTTAATTTTCTACAGAAATTTTATTCGAGAATTTAGCCCCAATTTATTTAATCAAATCTTCCCTAAGTCACATACGTTCGAAATTTCGCCTAATTAAATCAAGCAATTGAATTTTGCAATCGTTTTAATATAACTTAATCGAGAGCAGAGCCATCTGGTAATTTTTAAACCTGTTCCCAAAACGACTATCACGCGCATTCGCCACGGTGTTTGTTAAAGAGTAGCAGACTGCGGATTGAATGAAACCGTCTGACTCCCACACAGTGGAGAGACACAACCGCCCCTTCCCCGTCCCCGACAACTATAATGACAGTTGGAGGAAGTTGGTCCGGTGGTCTAAGTTTTCCAATCGGCCGAAAACTTGCGAAACTGACATTTACCTAGAAGAATCCGTAGCCGGCGGGAGTTTTGTTATCGACGGGGACGCGATTTTCCACGGAACGGCCGCG